TAAATTTATGCCTTTAACAAGTACCAAAAACGCCAGAATATGAGGTTTTTCTTCTTAGTAATCAAAGACAACATTCGGAGCCTTGCAAATTTTAAGTTCTGTTGGTTTACTTGAACTGTAATTATGGACTTAGGAACACAAAACAAAGATTACCAAGAAAGCACTAAGAGTCATAACCGTGTTAAATCTGTCACTATAGCTTTGTTGCCTTATCTATCCACACTTGTCACAGGGATGCTGCAGGCAAGCAAGATTACTAGCAATGAGCTCCCTTGAAGTTAGGGTGCTATAGACAAGGATGTTTTTTCTTGATTGCTTTCTAGCATAGTTCAGGCCAGGACTCAAGAACTGAAAGTCAGCAATTCCACCATCTTGTCATCCCTGTCTCATTTGCCTTGGGTTCATCTCTTTCACCTCAGTGGTCTCTGCAAGCTAGTTTTCACTGAATGCCCCATGCATTTCACAGACTGATGACTCATTTTCAGAAATGAGATGCATCAGAGCTCAAATCTGATTGACAGTTGATGGGCTCTGCCCTCCTGAGTGCCAAAGCCCAGATTTCTAAAGGCTATTTAAATGCCTTAATAATATCTTTAAAATCTAGTGTACAAAAAGCCAAGTTTAAAGCAATATAAATAAATATCCACAAGTGAAGCTAAATAGATACCCAAAAAAAATTGTGTCATTATATTTCTATCTGTGTATTCCTAAATCATATCCAGAGATGAAGTCTTCGATCTGTCACTTGACAGAATGCCTTCTGACCTGCCTAAATAGAGTGTCTCTTCTCAAGACAGTCTCAGTATCAGCCAGTACAAGATAATCTGCAGAACAGGCTCTTCCCTGTAGAAAAATTGAGAGTTTAAAAGTCTAGGACTACAGCACAGAAAACAAAAGACTACATTCTTGGCAATTTCCATGAATATGTCAGACTGCAGCAAATTATATCCTATAAGCTCTGTGCAACCATTGACATAGTATTTGCATTAGCTTCTCCTCCTCCTCATGAGTCAGGGTGCCCGTGCCTCAGATGTCTACCTAAAACAATAGAGACCTGCTGTGTGTGCCAGACTGGGGTACAAATTAACTCCTGTGAGATCACAGGGGATGTGTCCAGGATTCTTAACAGCTGGAAAACAAACAATGAAATTTGGCCTCACATTTATTAGGGTATAAAACATTTCTCATTAAAAAGTCATTGCATATCACAGGACCTCATGGCAATATCTGACTTAAAACAAGTAATCTCTCTTGGACATAGAGCACAAGGAGGATGTGACTTGCTGCAAGGTGGTACATCTCAATAATGACCTCCATGACAACAAATAAGACCATAAAAGCAGCAAACCAACAATCAAAAAACACAATGTTAACCTCAAAACCCAAAAGCGGAGTCTGTGCCTGAACATACTAGAAACATATTAATACAGCATGAGAAAACTTCTCAAGCACAGAGTGCCATGGGCCTTCACTGAATGCCTGAGTACAGAACAGCAGAGCATTGTTGATGTGCTTGGCTGTCAGGTGGTTGATCCATTTCTCCTTCTCAACTCTCTAAACACTAAATCCAGACCACATGACAAAGCTACCAGTGAGACCACCAACAGACTGAACACTTAAAAGACAGGAGATGCCAGAAACACAGACCTACAGAATCCCACAGGATCTTTGGACTTGCAGTTTTGTGTCTCTTCTATTGTAGGTGATATCTCTCCAGCTGACAGTGGCGTCTGAACAATGCCTGGACTTTTTAAGCTGAGGTTCTATTGTTAAGGACTGGAAATGCATTCTGTTAGTGTTCAAGAAAATAGTGCCTTTCTCATGAAAGCAAAAACCAAACCAAAATACATGCTCCCATTAGCCTCTGACACACTGTTCATGACGTGTATAAAAATTGGCTCTGCTATTTCTAATAAACAGAAGAGAGCTCATACAGATTTAAGTACTTAGACAAGCGTAGTGCGTTGCATTAAGGAAATGTAGAACTATGTTACAAGAAATATAAAAGGAATTCTTCACTGAATTTGCTGAATACAGCTCTCCTCCATTAATGCAATTCTGGCTGTCATTACCAATGGTCTTCCTAACTCCTGGCCAGGATTAACTAGTCACTGAATTGGGAGCTCACTGCAGTTTTCTCTAGGAAGGTGGAGTTGAAAGAAACACAGGTAAATTCACAGAAAAAGTTTCTTTCTTCATCATGCAATGGCGGGATGAATAAGAACAGAATCCATTTATCAACAGTACATTAAAACTCCAGGGCTCCTAAGGTTTATTTCATTTTGAATCATTGCCTGCCTGCTCATTTTAATGTGACTTCATGAAAAGCTTTCTACTTTTCATTACAAAAGGATCTCAGGGCTTGGCTTTCTTTCTCCCCACACCCCGATTGCTTTTCTCACATGCTCTCAGCTCAGCCACATTGCACAGTGATGAGAGTCCCAAATTCACTCTCTGCATGTGTGACCCATTGAGCAACTAATGCTGTAGGTCAGAAGAGATGATCTTCAGCCATGGAAACATCAGTTCTCAGCAAGGCTTCCAAAAAGATGTCCAACAGCACACACATCAGGTAAGCAGCCCATATTGGGAAGAGTGAAAGGTTCCTTTCACAGCTTAAGATCAAGGTTTCTTCTAAGAAAGGCAAGAGGATCCAAACAAATTTCCAGCATCCAGGCATTGGTGCCAGCCACAGCAGATCTCAGACAAAATCCAAACAAAAAAAACCCAAACAATTAAAATGTACACTTTCACAGCAAAATCAAAGGAGAGTAAAAAAAATCAAAATAAAATAAAGAAGAGTATGAAAGGATGGAACTTGGAACTCACACTGAGTTTCAGAGTGTTAAAATGAATACCCAAGGCAACTTTCACATTTGCTCAGCACAATGTCCAGGAACACCAAGAGAACCTTTGCCCTCTTCTTAGGAAAATAACATGGTGAACTTTTACTTTGGATCATGGGAAAATTAACGTTCACACTTTCAGCCAGCATTAAAGTGGCTTTAATTCAATTTAGTTGGATTCCCTTTAAAGGAAAATTAAACTAAATCAAATAAAGGCCATTTTTAATTCCAAACAAGTGTGAGTGCATGCATCAGTTTAATACATTTTACATAATCCACTTGAAACCCACCTTGTTACTTAATTCAGATCACCTTTCCCATGTGCTCTGCCTAGACAAGCCCTTAGAGATAACATTATCCATCCTCAAGGAACAGCTGCATTTCATTATTGGCACCTAAGTCTAGAGAGAGCTGCTCTGGAAAGGACAACACAGTTGCACACAATTTATATGTCTGTCACAGAGAGAACAATGCTCTGTATACAGCTACAATAACAATTAATATACTGGCAGTTGTTGTTCCATTAGTCACTAATTACACAGTAGACCAGTTACACAGAAGCCTTGTTCCTGGCAAAGAAGCCACTGCTCTGGAATTACTGAATTGCTAATCCAGAGCCTGCCTTTTGTTTCCCTAGTGATACCCTGCACCTTTGCCATCAGTTAAGTGAAAACACCACAGATGGTACAGATCCATAGGCAATGGCTGTGCACTGCACACCGCTGTTTAAGAACTTCTGAATTATGGCATTTGCATCAGAGGAGTCAAGGTGAGTTCAGTGACTGAACAGAATTGCTTCCAGTCTTTGTCACAAAATATAAGAAGAATAGTTTGTCACTGAAGATTTTTGCTTCCTCTTACAAAACAAAAGAGAAGTGTAGCAACCTCCACACATTGTTTCATCAGGCTGTTGTGAGCACAAGAAAATGCCAACCCTGGCTGAGAGTGGTTTTGAAGGACCTTTGTTTCACCAAGACATTTTGCAAAACTGAAAAAGGTAAGAAGTGCATAGCTGCTTTTAAAAGGATGTTGCAATAAACCCCAGTACATTTGGTAAGCCACAGGCGTGATTCTGGCCAGCCAGGAAAGGCACAAATGGGCCCAGCTGCACAGCTTTCCTTTTGATCTTTTCTCCACATTCTTTTTCTTTGTTGCCTTCTGCATGTCCTTACTTCAAGAGTGCGTCATGATCTGTGCTCTCTTGTGATCCAGCCAGTTCACAGGCCCAACACTGCTGCAGGTTTTACAGCTTCGAGGAGAGCCACAGAGGAGTGGTCTGGCCATGATCTTTGATGTCTGAAGAGCAAAACAGGAGAGGTGACCATCCTGCATGTAGCAAGTGAGAGCAGAAGGGTAATCGTCTCACCTTTCCCCCCACCAAAGAAAAGGCCCAGGGATTGAGAAGTCTTTGAAAAAATGCCAATTTACAAAAGTGGCAATTTCCAATCAGCTTCTCTAATTAGCATTTAGTGGAAACTTTTTGCCTTTCACCAATAAAAGACCTCTCCAGGGAATTGTGATTAGAGCAAACTTACTCTTGATATGGGAAAAGGGATAGAGACAGTGTTAAAGACAGCATTACATAGTTTTTTAATGAAAGCCTAACCTCAAGAAGTTGTTCACTGGAACAAGTCAATGAACCATTTTGATCTCATTATTTGGAATCCTAACTTTCAAAATTAAAACCTAGTCAACTCATCTTGATCCAACTGTGTTCATCTGCAGTCAACAACTGCAGGAAAATAAAATGTCTCACTTTCTCTCCCTTTTTCTTTGTTGTTACTACAAATAAAAGTGGAAAGAAATTCTTTATGCTTCCATTAATAATTATAAAGATAACATTTCATACATCACATGTTGTTTTTTGGGTTTTTTGCACATAAAAGTCATGAAAATACAATCCAGTTGACTACAACTTCATTAAAAAACTGCTAAGTCATCCCCCAAACTGACTTACTCTTTATTGTCTGTGATGAGTACCAAGGAACACATATTAGCCTTATAATGAAAATTCAATCACATCCTTAACTACTCACAGGCTACCACTCTGCTCCACAAGGTACAGGTGAGCATAATTGACAAGACAGATCGAATCAGATCCAACAGATTTAACTTGTGCAAGTTTTTATGGCAAAGACTTTGTTTCAGCTTAACTCAGTATAGTACCACATTTATCCATGGAGCTAGAGAAACATTGAAAAAAGAAAGCACAGATCAACTGAACTTCCCTCCTAGAAAGAAGACACCTTTATGCCAAACAGCAATAAAAGAACAGAGAGAAGATTGGGACCCATCACACAGAGAGCATCTTTTATGTATGGGGAAGATGGGGCTGGAGCTTCCTTTGTCTTCATTTTCATTGTGTAGACAGGTAAGCTAAGGCACAAACTGATTAATTGACTGACTTAAAGAGAGCCTGTGGCAAAGGCAGGAATTAGGCTCCGCTCCCCCTGAGGATCAGTCCAGTATCTTAACAAACCCATATCTTTCTGTTCTGAAATGCTGTGGCTTTCCTTTGTAATTAAACAGCATGGATGTGAGGGGGCTGATTTTAACTATCATTGCAGTGAAAGAGCTTGCACTGGTCAAGTGGGGAGGAACTGCCCTGCCAACCTAAAAAGGCTTCTCCTATACTTAATCCCAGGCTTCTAAGCTTTCAGAAATGGAAAATACTGCATAAGCAACAGTAGTGAGCAATTTTGAAGGCATACTGAAAGATCTTTTTATACTCTCCCATTTTAATAGCTGGGCCTCTTACTGTATATAGTGTACAGTCACAGAATAATATGCATGGGTTTAATGCCTGCCAAGGTGAAGATATTGAAAATTCAATTAAAATATAGTTTAGGATATTGGCTTATTTTAATTTCCAGTCTCCTTTACCCTCCATCCACCTCCTATGCATCCAGGACTGAAGCTACAAGTTACAGGCTAAATCTTTTCTCCTGTAGCTCATAATCTGAAATTCCTTGTACTTCTTCAGCATCTGACCATATGAAGCATCTTCAAATTCTACAGAGTCCCTCTGCTCCTTTAATGAGAGAGGACATTGACATGCTGAGACAGGAGTAGTTCCTATTATGGACAAAACTTGATGGGGACCCCAAAATTTTGCCTCTTGGCACTAAGCCTGGCTTACTCATACTTGCATGAGCTTTTTTTAAACTACGGTCACTTCGTTGAGCAGCTTCAGAGAGGGAATATAACTTATTTCACCACAGCAAAAGCAACTCCCTCCTCTGCAGTTCTCAGTTACCTTTAAACAACAAAACTTTTGCCATCGTTTATGTTTCTCTTTCTAGTTGGATCAATGAAGTTCTCACTGTCACTGTGTTGCCTTACACAGTACAGAGAAGAAATAGAAGTCCTACTGGGACACAATCAGAGAAACAACAATAATTTCAAGAGGCAAGCAATGAATCAGAATCTCAGAAAAGCTTCAACTACTGTCCAGAGTTTCTGCTGATCCTTCCTGAAATGGATGCGAGAGCATGCTGTAGGGTGAGTCCCTTTGGTTGCCTGCTAAGCTGAAGAGAGGTGTCAAGCATCACTGCACATAACAAAACAATGTGCAGTGCTACAAAAAGCACTACTGGAACAGAAAGGAGATCCTTGTTCTATTTTCTCTAACAGTGCTCAGGAACACCTGGTTCTGGAAACTAAACAACAATTTGTTTATGTCAGGCTTGAGAGAATATATACCTCAAGTGTTTATATGGCCTGTCTAAATCTTACCCTGACTGCAGTAATGGCAGGTGTTATCCTTGTCACATGAAATATTTTCACTAAACTACTTGCTTCTGAAACTCCTCCAACTTTCCAAATTTTATTATAACAAATTGTGTATCTAAAATATTATACCTTTGGTACTCCTTTATTTGAATGGGAGCACACGGTTTCCATAATAAATGGAAAGTAGCACAATAGGTTCCAGGACATTTCATAATCAAATCCACTCTAGATGTAGTTTACAGAAATGTGAAGATTGAGGCTAAGCACCATGGTCATCAGTTCCCAGTAAACTGAGAAGTGGGTTCTTCAAGGCCTCAAAAAAGTCCCTGCCCTATTTATAACTTTCATGAGCCCCATACAACCACTTAACAAAAGCTGATTACACCCCTGTTTGACATACAGGGGGACACAAAGTAGAATGAGTCTTGTAATTAAGCAATTAAAGAGACTAAACAAAAAAAGTGCACCAGTCTTTTCCTCAGCACATAGTTCCATCTCTCAGCCTGCAGAGAGACCATTAGTCCCTGCACTTGGGTCCCCATGGGTTACAGTGCATTCAGGTAACCACCCATCTGGAAACAGATCAGCTGTTTACACCCTCCTGGTTTACATAGGCCCTCCTGCACACCACCCCTAGCGCAGACCTTTTTCAGTAGCTGCTTTCATGCTGTCTACTGGTTAAGTAGCAAATATCTCAGAGAGTTGACTCTTTCCAAGTCAAAGGCTCGGTAACTTCCAGTGCTTATAGCCGACTGGAATAGAGGCCTTGGCCAAGGCGTACATGCAGTGCCACAGGGCAGAGTTGGAGGAAAGATGCCCATCTACCACAGGGAGGTGAAGGAGATGAATAGAAGCTTTCTTCTCCACTGATGTTGTCTTCATGCATGACACACTGCCAGGTTGCAGTGTACTGGGACACCACTTGGCAACACAAAAAAAAAGGCAGCATATTAAAACTGGATAATAACAGGAAAGATCCACCCTGTTTTGCTGTCTTTTGAGGGTGTTGCCTTGCTTGTTGGCTTCTGAGATAGGCTCTTTCCAGAGGGGATATCTGTGTGCCCTGCTCCCCACATTTTGCTGTGGATCTATGCGTACAGGCAGTGCTGCTAGGTGAGCGCCATTTGAATTGACAAACTGGGATTTCTGCTGCACGCCTCACGCTTAATGCAGCCCTGCCTGGGCTTTGAAGGCAACGGCTTGTTGCCTTGGGGTCTGAAACTAACAAAGCCGAGCTGAACAAGCCCAGGGCTCCCGTTGGATTGCTCGATCAAAGACAATATTAAACAGCACCGTTTTCATAACTACTATTCTGGGGCTCTTGGAAAGCAAGACAAAGGAGATGAAGTTAATTTCTGTTATCATAGCCTAGTGCAGCTGCAAGGGCCCTGGGAGAAGCCATCTTCTCTTGATGGTTTATGCAGACTGTGTCTTTGCAAGAGCTCCCATTAAGCCAACAGAGCATCAAAAGCTTGTCAGGCACTTCTGTTCCCCTCCTCCCCACACTGTTGTCAAAGCCACTCCATTCCTTCCTTCAGACGTCATCCTTACAGACAACAGGGAACCTCCCTTTCCTTGACCACTGCCCTGCACCTCTGCTCTCTCCTTCACTTTTTCTGACAGCAGTGCTGCCCATTACACTGCCCAGGGAGACTCAAACTAGGGAGGTGCTGCATTAGGCACAGGAGTGCTGTGCAAGGGAACTGGACAGAGGACAAGTCCTCTAGGTTCTGCTCTGCCACCAGCTTAGCTCACAACTTTAGAGAAACATCTTAACCTTTGGTTCCTATATGGTCAGCTCAGAATAACAGGGCCCAAGCTTCTTTTTTTTTTTTATGGCAAACTGCGTAGTATGTCCTATTTCTTTCTGTTCCTGTCACAGGTGATGGAAGTCACGAAGCAGTATTGCAGGAGAAAGTTGAAGCTATTTCCTTATTTCCTAATTAGAAGAACTCTTTGGGAAATGTGGGGCAATTTTAAGATACCTCTCTTACAAACCATCATTGTCATGGTAAACAAATCAGCATGAGAACGCATGCTTGTCAGAATCAATGCAATCCCAGGACTGTACAAAGGTATCTTGGGCTCTGATTTTTCTTCCTTACCCTTCATCCATGGTTGAGCATAGAGATCATTTATGGAAAAGCAGGAGTGTGTTAGAACTTGCTTATCCTCTCAGCTTGGTTGCAGTAAGGACAGGGAGGATGAGAAAGCTGGGAACCATGAAAGGTTTTGAAATGAGATTACTGAAAGGGAGGAAATAGCTCCAGAGAGCTTTGTTTAAAGTCCTCCTCATCACAGTGCATGTTATTCCTTTGAGGTCACTCAGATAAAGGTGCAGCTTTGGATATGGCATGGAAATAAAGCACTTCTTGAGATGAGCAGGGTACTTCAAGAACTGGTCTGCATCAATGGATAGAACACCCCATAATTTCATCCTCTCAAACTGCGAGTTTATGATCTAGGGATAAGTCCCCAGCAACCTGACTACTCCTGTCCTGGAATTACTCTTTGCTAATAATTCCATCTGGGATTTCACAAACTGGTTTCATTCAAGTTTGCTCTTCCCTCTAATTTCAAGTTCCCCAATTAGTTGAAAATACACTAAAATACAGAAAAGTCTTGCTGAAAAATTTCTGGATAGATCCAATACTGATGCCCATGAAATTAATAAAAATGCAACATCAGGCTCAAACAAGAGGGATACACCTCTGTCCAGCCATTTGCTGATACCTTTCACATCTCCCTCATGTCAGAGTTTTTCCTACTAAGTGCTCAGTACAGATCTCCAACAATTTCTGAACAAAACTGCCCATTCTAACTGTTGGAAGCAGAAAAAGAAAGAGCTGTTCTCAACCCAGAAGAGAAGAAGCCAGTCTTCAGTTTTAAAGCAAATCTTCTAGATGTAAATTGCTGCATAATTTAAGTTTATTGAACATCTAACACCAGGAAATGTGCAATTCATGAAATTTTCAGTGAAGATATACGAATGAGAGTTTCCGATACATTTTTAAAATGTGAAATTATCAAAGTTTTATGCACTGTCGACTTTGGCCACATACGGCAGAGTTAATTGAAAGCGCAGTCCTGGCTTTAAAGGTGTCCCCATGAAAGTGGCAATGTGTGTTTTATTGTCTCTTAGTCATTTGCAACTCAAAGGTGCCCAAATTTATGCATGAGAAAGTGTTTCTTCCAACTTCCAGCCTGCACTGCAAGACACTATTGAATCCAAGAATCTGAGTAGATGCTTTATTTCTCACATTCACATCACTGATCCTGTAGTTTCTGCCAATTAAATAATGTGTCTGGTTTCCAAGATGCAACCCTTAAGCTCCAGATCAAGACCCCATAAGATATTTGCTTGGAGTGGATCAAAGATTCTGTAGTTGGAGTACCCTCAAGAAGAGGAACAAACAAGACAGGAACAAACTGCTGGGAATCAGCAGAAGGGTAAAGGTATTCTTTCACTCAGTAGGGCAGAACAATCTTTGATAAGAGGATACAGGTTACAACTCTTCCCCTCACAGACACATCCCAGTTTAGGATTTCTGTAGTTGGAACAGGTACTGCCAAGGACAACCAAACTGAACAGCACATCCTTAACCTCCTAGAGACAGCATAAATCCAGGCTTGAAGCCTCTGCTCCATGAAATTGGATTAGAGACTCTACTTTGGGTCTACCTAAACGAGATAAATAGCCCTTACAGTTATTTTTTTTCTTCTTCCTTGTTTTTTGTTGTTTTTTTTTCCCACATAAAATACTCTGAAAAAGAAAAAAAATAATTGAGAAGGAGTTAGGTAATCTTCTACCCTACGACAACAAATAAGGCCACAGAGCAGAACTCAAACTCCAATGCAGAACTGATGGTTTTCTAAAAAACATTAGATCATACATTCTCAGTATAACCCTTGTGCAGGAGGTAGACATCATAAAAGTTGTTGGACTACTTGGTTTTACTACAAGTACTTCTTTGGTCCCTTGTTCTGGTCATAAAGCTGCAGCAGTAGGAAACATGAAGTGGGATATGTGGTTAAAGTTTAATGCAGGGAGATGAAAGAAAAGAGCTGTGTTTCCCCCTTCCTTGCAGCCGCAGTGAGCCAACATCAGGAATTAAAAGAAATGGACCACACTGACTGCAGAGCAGACCCCATACTGTACATTTTACAAATGCAACAGAGCTGCCCACCTCCAAAACTGCCAAGGCAAATACACAGTGTCAGCTCTCCCTCTGTGCCCACCATCCCCAGTATTGCTGCTGAGATACCTGCAAGGGCTGTGCTGCTGCTGCTGCTGCCACCTCTGCTCACAGAGCCTACAAGCATTTCTCAGCCATCTGCTTTGACAAGTACGGGCTCTTCCACCACCTGCCTTCAGCAAAGCAAGGCAAGGAACAGAGATCTGGGACCAGCATGCTTTTGGAAATGTGAACTTCTTCACCCGTATCTGTGTGGCAGGTGCAGACTTAGTTTGCTTGCCTATTATCTAGCACTTAATGCAAGCCCCACTGAATGGTGGAAGTCACAGAGCTCTAACACATATAGTGGCTAAAAACATAACTGGAGAGAAAAATTAGACCTCTCCAAAGCAGGCCAGGGCTTGGGGATTAATGTGCTTTCTGAACTGTGGGACAACCATGTTCCAGATCCTGCTGTATTTTGGAGCAGAAATAGATCTCAATGTACTGGCTTAGAAGCAGTCTCCACTTCTTTCAAAAAGGCCATCCTAGCTACGAGAAATTCATCTTTGTAACAGTTTTCATAAAACAAACATATTTTCCCAAACAGTTTCTCTTTTTACTATTCATGTGATATTTTTTACAGCACCAGCTCTGGCTACTAACAGAAGTAGTGACTATATAGTATCAATCCACTTTTTTCACTTAGCTCAAACATGTGAATGGCAGAAAAACAAAAAAATAATTGCATTTGAGAAGAGTTCCACTTCCTATGAACATTGCTATTAGGTAATGTTGCTGTTAGACATACATAGAGGAATTTGGGAAAAGTGATGTCTGAGTGATTTTTGATTTTGCCTTTGAAGTGCTTGGATTTTTCTTCAGAAGTTCAGCACAGCCAAACAACAACAAGTTTGCCACCAATTGTTCTCTTCCTCATAACACCTTGGGTCTCTCTTTTCCTTTCAGAGCTGCAGTTCATGCAACCCAGAGAGGGGACCCAGAGCTCCATCCTGTCCCCCCAGTTGCAGGAATGTGTTTCAAGGTCTCCTGCTGCTGTGCCTTTGCCCCAATAACTAAAGGAGGCAGCAGCATCGCGCTCTGGCTCAACCGCTGGATGCAAAGTGACAAACGTTCTGCCGGGGTTAGAATGAGATTAGCAAAATCCTACGGAACAATGATTCAAAGGTGCTGTAACAAATCAATTTCCTGCGTGCAAAAAACACAATTACTACACCAATTATCTGCTCTCACCACATCCTTCTCTCTGCAGTGAGCCAGGGCTGAGAAACCGCATCCTTTGGGCTGCAAGCATATGGTCCCTCCTCTTAGGTGATGCTGCAAGTGGTAGGAGCAGTAGTTCTCCACCCTCCTTGATCAGTTTTGCCACTAGAGGGCACAGAGATTGCCAAAATAATACAGGGGAAACAATAGGTCCATTGGTCTTTGAACCTGTATTCCAAGTTCTCCAGCTCCACGAGCAACCACACTACCATTCCAGAGCAATTCATATCTGCCAACACAGATTATCACCTCTAGTGTTTCTAATCTTTTCCACTTCATCATCTTTTAGTTAATTTCTCACATCTCCCAGTTTTTCCATTGTGGCACAAACATAGAACCTCTATCTAATGCAAAGGTGGAGGGTAAGGGGGGATTTTTTTATTCTTTCCAGGGCCTGAATATTTTTCAAAGAGGAGATTCCAATGTCAAAAATCAACATGTTCAGCACAGACAACCCAGTCTACAATGTTTCTTGTCTCTGGCTCAGAGCCAGAGCCCAACTACACTCCCACTGCACCACATCTGAGGTGATGAGCTCCCCCACCTTGCTGAGGTGCATGTGCTAAGGATGTCATTACTAGCAGCCACCTTGAACATAACAAGGCTAGTCAAAAAGTCCAAGCTGAGTAGCATCAATTTCCACCCAGAGTCAGCAGTCTCCATGTTTTGTTCCCTGGCACTGCTGAGCTGCTAAGGCCCTCAAACAGGCCTTGCACTGACTTGGAAAGATCCAGCAACACTGAACGGTCTGGACTGCATGCAATGCAAGATGGTGCTCCTTGCTTCCTGCCCAGGAAACAGATTGCAATTTGCATAGTGCTGTACCTGAGCTAATAAACGATGATGAACTCTCTCTGGGTCTGCATCCATGGCACAAATAATCTTCAGTCTGGATAATTCCCATTATGTATCCTGGCTTTTTCACTCAAGCTGCAATACCTTTTACCTCTGGAAGTCCATGGTGCCAGCAAGCATCCACTACAGAACTTGCTCTCATTTCTGTCTGCTCCCATTCCCATTAAACCAAGCAGCCAACACCACCAATCTCACTATCACTCTTCAGTTCTTGCTGTAGGTGAGATAAGGGCATACCAGCATGTGCTGCTGATCAGCTCAGCAGGCTCCTGGCATCGTGTTCTGCTGCTGCCTCCCTCACTGGCCCAACTCCCTCCAGCTCACAGATGGCCCTGGGAGGGCTCAGCCTTTGTGACATGCCAGGAATGGTGTGAGCTCGACCACAGCATCTTCTGAGCCTGAAGGGAGCAGTCCAGTGTCCAGTTACCCATTTTGAGAATGTGCAAGGTATAGAAAGAGCAGAGCCTATATGTACCACGCAGGTCAATGGGGAACCTGTCAAAGCCTAACACAACTCACAGGACAGAGTTACAGACACTGGGTTTTCACCTTATTGGGCATCCAGCAGGCTGCCTTTTCCCATTTATCAGACAAATCTGAGTGAACATTCCACTAAAAGAAAGAGAAAAAAGGTCTTTGAGTTAAGCAGCTGATACAATCAGGATTTCAATTGTTAATATAGAAGACTTCCTCATATGTCTTGCACCAGTATTTGCATCGCAGCACAAATAATACAAGACAA